GGGGCGCGGGGCTCCGCGCCGCCCCCGCCGCCCCTGACGCCCCGCGCTCCCCGCAGGTCCCACGCAGCAGGCGGTGGAGAGCAGCAAGCTGGGCGAGCTGCGGGGGCGACCCCAGCCCGGGCAGTGGCCCCCCGCCAGGTGAGCCCCGCGCCGCCTTGACCTTGGGAGGGGAGCGGCGCTGGGGCGGCCGGGCGTGACCTTGGGAAGGCGAACGGGACGGCTGGGCCGCCCGGCGGGACGCGGGACGGGGAGCCGGGGTCTCCGCTCGGTGCCGCTCGCCCCGGGGGTCTCGGCGGTGCTTGTGGCCGCACGCGTCCCGCGGAGCTCTGTGCACGCGTGCCGTGGGCCGCCCCGCGTGGGGACACCCCGGAGGGGCTGCCCCTCCTCCTTCCCGCGGGCCACCCCCAAAAATCGTGGGGAGTGGGAGCGGTGGGGTCACGCCAAGGAGGGAGCGCGGGGGGGTCCCGGCGCGGGGCAGAGCCGGGCCGGGCTTGCCCGGCCCCTCCGCGGACGGCCCCGATTGCACGAACCGGGCGGCGGGGCCAGCGCCGGTCCCGCCCGCCTTGGCCGCGCCGCGGGGGCCGCGGAGCCCGCGCCCAGCCGGTGTTCCCCTCTGCCCCAAAAGCCGGGGTGACACTTTGTGGTGAATTCCAGTGTCCCGCAGCAATACCTGGAGCTGCTGGCGGGGTGCTGTGGGGTATTCCAGTGGCTGGGAGGTGGTGATGGGATCCCTAGGGAGACCCTTTCCCGACTGGAGGGCTGGAGTCACAGCACACCCAGGCAGGGTAGTGGGACCCCACTGGTTCTGCACGTCCTCTCCAGCTCCCCCCTACCCACCCAGTTCCTCTCCTTCCCAGGATCCCCGGAATTCACTGGAGTGGCTTCTGCCATACTTGCCCTCCTCCTGCCTGCCCAGTGCCCCTGGCTGTGGGGGCTTGAGGGTCACTGCCCTCCCCAGCCTCTGCCTGCAGATCTGCAGAAGCTGCCTGCTCCCAATCTTTCCTGCCCTCCAAACCCACTCCTAGGGCCCCTTAGACTTTGCCCCGTGAGGAACGTGGCTGTTGCAAACGTGTCCTGCCCTAGAGCTGGGCAGAAAAGCCGAAATACTGGAGTTTGCATTGAACATGCTCCCAGGTCTCATCCTAAGTCTTGCCTTTGGCTCTGGTGGGTGTTGCTGCATCCAGTCAGGGTGTGGTTGAAGTGCCCCTCACTGGAGGGGATCCCAGCTCCAAGGAAGCCTGAACTGCTCCCACTTTTCAGAGTGTAACATCCCAGTCCTGGGGCACCTGGTGTGCCCCATGCTGGGGCCAGAGCTGTTCCAGTGAACCTGGGTGCTTGATGTGCAGAGGATGGCGCATCCCCTGTCCAGTACCTGACTGGATTTCACTTCCATTTCCTGATATTCCTGCAATTTTGGTGGCAGATTCTTTATCTTTGGGACTGCACTTGGTGCTAGATTGGAGGATGGGTGGGAGATGGGCAGCTGGTGCTTTTCCCCAGGACCTCCCCTTGCACCCCTCCTGTCCCTGGGGGCTGGGTCCCTTTCCATCCCAGTTCCTTGGGGACGGGGCTAAGTGACTGCAGCTGTGGGTGAGTGTGTGCACCATGGGGCAGCCCAGGACAACTGAACTGCCCCAGTTCTTGCTGGGGTGAGCAGAGCTGCCTGTGCCCTCACACCGTCCCCCCTCCTTCCTTCCCTCTCTCCTCAGCCCAGCGCAGAAACTCGTCTTCAACAGAGTGAATGGCAAGAGGCCCCCACTGCTGCTGCAGCAGATCTCAGCCCCTGAAGAATGTTACACCCTGGCCCACGAGGAGAATGTCCGCTTTGTCTATGAAGGTGAGGGCAGAGGGTCCCTGGGGCAGCACCCAGGGGAGCTGGAGCAGATGGAGCCCTTCCCCAGCACCTACACCGTGCTGGGGACATCGGTGGCAGGCAAGGAGTCCTCAGCCTGGGGATTTGCCCTCCTTTGCTCCACCTCCTGCTCCTGTCCAGCAGCCCCCCACCCTGGGAGCCCTGTCCCAAACCCACCAGTGCTCGTTCCTCCTCCCAGCCTGGCAGCAGGTAGAGCAGCAGCTGGACGGCAGCCGGAGCGGGGAGAGCGCCTGCGGCCCCGTGCAGTACGTGGAGAAAACCCCCAACCCCGGACTCCAAAGTAAGTGGGCAGTGCTTGTGGCACTTTGGGGTGCATCAGGCTCGGGGTGCAGTGAGTGGCTGTGGGCTCGGCCTGCACCTGAACAGGGCTGTGGTGGAAGGAGGAGGAGGATTCCAGTGCTGGATGTGCCAGAGGGGCTGGTTGGGTCTGTCCTGATGGTGCTGAGGTCACTCTGGGCGTGCTGGGGGGAGACAGCTGTCCCCAGGTGCTGTGGTGGGGATGTCCCACTGCATCCCTTGGATGGTCCACTGTGCTGCTGACTCCTCTGGGCTTCAGGCCTTCTCCTGCCATCAAGGGGTTCAGCATCATGCTGGAGAGAGAGGAGCTGCCCGTGGGAATCTGCTTTTCCTGGGGCCAGCAGGACCCATTGGGCTTGGGGACAACACTTGTCTGGTGGCACCTGGAGTCAGCAGCCTGCAGGCTCTCACAGCAGCTGAGAGCTCCCCAAGGAAGAGAATGTCCCTGTAGACCCAGTCTGGCCTTTTGAGGACATGGCACAAGGATGGAGGAGACTTGGGGGTGTCATTAGATTGGAGATCAGGGAAAGGTTCTTCCCCCATAGCGTGGTGGGGCATTGAGCATGCACCCAGGGAATGGGCACAGCCCTGAGGCTGCCAGAGCTCCAGGAGCTTTTGGACAAAGCTGTCAGGCCCAGGGGGGGATTGTTGGGGTGTCTGCATGGCCAGGAGCTGGACTGGATGATCCCTGTGGGTCCCTTCCAGCTCAGGATATTCTGTGATTCCATGGTTATTTTTTCTGGGGTTTGGAAGGGAGCACCCCGAGCTCTGCTCCTGCTCCAGCTGGTCCCCTCTCTCCCTTCCTTCTTTTACAGACTTTGTTCCAATCGACCTGGAGGAGTGGTGGGCACAGCAATTTCTGGCCAAAATCGAGAACGGCTCATAAAAGGGAAGAAAAGGTGGTTTTTTTACAAGAGAAACGAAGCTGCGAGCACCTGCTGACAGCCCAGCATCAGTGGCGTTTTTGAACCACGTTTTTAAGAGGCCCAAAGTGGAGAGAGCCAGCCCCGAGGCACCGGACCACAGCCATGCCCGGCCCCGCGCCCT